TGTACTGACACTACCCAATGGTCCTCACCTGTATGATGAATTTGTGCTGATGCAGCGCTAGTTGGTTTCATTCTGAGTGCATAGTCCCACTTATTGTTTTTCAAAATTGGAGCATAACCTGTATCTTGCATTCCGCCTATATTAGGAAACTGTTTCTTTAAATTATTTTGTACGTAACACATGATATTACCACATAGTTTGTTATCAATTAATAAATCATTTTTATCCTTAAAACTTAGCGTACTTTTACCGTTATCCATCCAGATACGTCTTGTTTCTGCGGGCTTAATAAGCGACGGTCTGTCATCCGAAAGATCCAATAAAATATCACTTACATTAGGTTTGTTCTTTTTTGGTAATGAAAGTCTTCTTCTTTGTTTTGCCTTAGGACTGGTACTTACAACTGGTTCAGATAAACTTACACCATCACTACATTGTATGTCTGCTACTGACTCAGCTATAATACTTACATCTTTTGTATCTTCTTTTCCTTCTATTATGTTTGACAATCTCTTACGGGTTAATGAAAGTCTAGACCTAGGTTTTGGTTTTCTTGGAGTACCAATATCAGAAATATCGTGGAGAGGAACTGACTCTAATTTCACTGGAGAAGCCAATGTAGCCCTTGGAGTTGAACAAGTTATATTTGAACTTGAAATATAACATTGTTATATGGCCAAATTATAATTAATCATGCTTAACACTCATAGACTTGCAGCTGTATCAACAATGGATTAAAGAATTATAATGGTGTATCATTTTCTACATCTTATAAGCTTGTGGCGTTTGATGTGTTGTGATAAGGGATTAATCTCTTATTCATTACATGTAAAAAAAAAATGCAGATTATTAAATGAAAAAGAAATAATGAAATAGTTGTATTAAAAGGTTTTTTTTNATCACAACAAAGTCAGAATTTCATGTGAAATATGTCGTTTATTTCAACGAAACTTACATAATTATAAACAGTAAGGTATTTTGTTCTATATATCTGAAAACAACATGTTAATTTTCACTGAATATCTAATTATATATGAAAAACCGTGATTTTCACGGTTGACTGCGGCGTACAAGTTTTACCCCCTTGAAATAAACATTATCGTCAATTTCTAAATTATTAGATGATAAATTTACACTTTATTAATAGTCACATTTAGAAAATAATGTTTGAAATTATTGTATAATTTTATAAAAAATATAAACAATCGCGTTAATGAGATATTAAAATATCTCTATATGCCTGGTACGGGGTTTTGGGACGGGAGCGGGAGCGGCGTACAAGATTTACCTACCACCACTTATCTTAGCCTTTGTAGAGTTTGTCGTCTATGTTTCCCATTAAGCAATTATGTGACCATGACGTATCATTTCTAATTTTAAACGAAAGTATTGCTTTATAAATTATATTTGGATTGGATTAAAATTATCTTATTAACGTTAATATTTGAATTTTTGCAAATAAATATATAAAAGAGAGCAAAACGATTATCCTTTGAGTAAAATATTTTATTTATTTAGAGAGGGTCATGTCGTTTTAGTTATGCCATTCTGAATTTTTTATTAACCAAGATGTCAGCTTCCAGCTACTTTGATTCTCAACAGAGCGAAAACAAAAGAAGTGGTTTCAACTCTTATAGGGAATTCAGTTTCTTCACACGCAAACGATTATTGAAAATTGGTAGCTTGCAATATATGAAATGTCTCATGGCTATACTTGTGATCAATTTATTGGTGTTTTTATACCTGATGCATGCGTACAACCTCTTCTCCATCGACCAATACCTGTTATCAGCTGATGGTGGTCTTCACTTTCACCGTAAGGATGCCCAACATTTTGCTTTAGCAAAGGAAATAACTGTTGTCATAAGAGAATTTGAAGATTTCGAAAATCGTGTGAATGAAACTGTCAGAAATTTTAAATGGATATCTCCATACATGAATGTGATTGTAGTTTCCGATGACATTCCCTACCCACCGCTTAAACTAAACTTCAGTCAGACTGTACACTTTGTAAATCTGCAGTTGCATCCAATGCTAACAAACCCAATGGATGTCCTTAAAGGATTAATCAAAACCCCATATACAATTTTTGTTCCTGATGGCATCAATATAACGAAATCCAAAGCATTACTTCAAGCTGTAAGAAATATAAAAACTAGACAGTTGATTAAAGCTCTGGCCATCCCAGTTGGAAATGAAAAACTCAATTGTCCAGGAATGGATGTGCACCTACGGTCATGGTCTGTTGATTTCACTAATTTTGTTGGTGGTGAAGGAATGTGCGACTATGTGCAAGGTAACCATGCACTGCTGATGTTGACAAGTGACTTATTTGAGTTGACAAGTCCATTTGAACGTCCCCTGTATGTTTCATTGTACTTGCAGTTAACACTAAGAAGGTGGAAAACAGGAATATACACTGGTGATGTTTTCGTGCCGAAAACCATATTCAAAGACTTTCGAAGTGAATGGAAACATAAACATTTGGAAGAATTACGACTGGAAAATACAATGAGAAAATTTGAAATAAAAAAGGTATCATATGATAAACAAAAAGTTTCCTATTATGGGTGTACAAAAGATACTGAGCGATGTTTTGGAACTGTCATCAACGACATGCCTGATTTCTTACATAAAGGGAAATGGACTCCACCTTGTTGTTTAAAAGCGATAAGAGAAACAGCAAGACATGTTTTTACCATGTTGAATAAATGCTCAGCTCGCTACTGGCTTGAAGGGGGCAGCTTATTGGGAGCTGCAAGACACAAGGATATCATCCCATGGGACTATGATATTGACATTGGTGTTTATAAAGAAGATCTCGACAAATGTGAACAGTTCGTAACATTGGCAAAGAGGAATAGTTTTACGGATGAAGCAGGATTTCATTGGGAAAAGGCAACTGAAGGAGAATTTTTTAGGGTACATTACAGTGTTGTCAATCGTAACCATATAGATATCTTCCCATTTTTCCCAAAGTCTGGAATAATGACAAAAAACACATGGTTTAAAACACACAGACAGGATACAGAGTTTCCTGAACATTATCTAAAACCGATGATAAAGGTGGAATTCATAGGAATCAACGTTTCAGCACCTAATAATGTCAGACAATTTTTAGAATATAAATTTGGAAAAGGAGTGATAGAAAACCCAAGGTTTCCCAACTCTGATTTGGTAGTTGGTGGATAGATTTATGTTAAATGTACCTGTAGTGTTGTTCATCTTATAAATGTACCTGTAGTGTTATACATCTTATAAAGATGTACGTGTCTCTTAATTTATAATACCTAAAATTACATCTCTGGTGCAATAAGCTGCCTCCAGAAATTTGTTCAAAACGATAGAGGTCAGTTTAATCAGGACAATATAAATGGCAGCCATGCAGTGCCCATTTGTCAGTCTCTGTTTGTATATAGGATTTTACATCATCTGTATTTTTGCATTCCAATGGTGTGTTGAGTATTGTACATTGTTTAATTTAATGTGCAATTAATTTCATCTAAAAATGAACTGTGCAATAATCTACAAATGTAGTGAGGTAGCTGGATATATAGGGTTATCTTGCAGAATTATTGTGTGTCTGGCTTCATTTTCTTCAGAATAAGATGAGTAAAAAATGTTTCAGGTATTCAAGTTTCTTTTTTTTTATTTTTTTTTATGAAAATAACTTAAAATTAGTTTGAAATGAAGAAATAGGCATATTTCAACCAACTTATCTTTCTTTGTTTTCATAACAAAAATATTCAAATCCATTTGAGGGAAAGCAACTTTTCAAAAATAAAATGTATGGTTTGATAGCCATTTTTCACAACCTTAACAATGACATAGTTGCCATTTATTATATACATTTGTAATATATAGATATAAATTATTTAGAAAAAAACCCACATATCTTTGATCACTGGATATCTGATTCTAACCTAGGGGGAGATAAGCTGATAGTAAACACTAAGGGGCTGGTAGCCAGTCTAGTAGTAAAGACATGTAAAAACTATATTGTATCACATTCCTATTACTCATGCAAGTTACAGTAAATAAATTAAAGTACAACAGAAAAATAACTTTGGGACAAAAATATAAGTCATGTCATGTACCCTGAAGAAAGTTTAATTAATAGTCATTTTACTCATTTTTTGTTGAAATGTCATTTGAAAAATGTCAGTTTTTCAACTTGGAATGTTAACAAAGATGAATTTTTAATGCAAGAATTATCAAAAATGATAAACTTTTGTCTTAGTCAAAATTACAGGTGCACAATGCAGATATACCTATGTTGAAACATTGTTGTTTGGCCTAAAATGACTCAAATTGTTGGTGGGCCGTAAAACAATACAAAACAAACAAACAACAAACCTATGTTGAATTACCAAATTATTATTACTAAAATATATTACGGTTCAATGACCTATGGTTTCTAGTTCTGCTAAAGGATCAATCATCTTGATGCTCTATGAAGCCGACAGAAACTAAAAGTTTGATGCAGCTAATTTTATAGGAGTTATGCCCCTTTTACAAAAGGCCAAACATGCTCAAAAACGTTCTGCAAACTTTAAGAAACATTGTAATCACTTGACATAACTGTACATCAAAAAAATACTTATTTCAGCTATATTCGAGGGAGCAGATGGGTTAGCGCTTTCAATTTTCAAAATTCAAGTTTTGGAACAATTTTAATTTTGGTACATGTTCATGCCTGCTTAGCTATATACATTTGTGTTCCAACATACTTGTACGTCGTCTATCTTCAGGTATCATTGTGATGCTGGCCCCAATGATAACTTGGCTTGGAGAATGACACCGCGTCAGCACTTTACCTCCAGAGCTTTGTTATAACAAAGTATTAATGTTGCATTCTATCATGAAATTTTCCTTATACAATGTACATGTTCAAGTTGTATTTTTGTGATTTACTGATACCTGTTTTTTCATCATGCCTAATACATTTTGTTGCGTTGGCATTGCTATGTGAAAGTGCTGATATTTGCCGTAGAATTTCAATCGTGATGAGTCAAACATTGATATACATGTAGGCGATTAATATATAAGAATTTAGGATGTAATACTGATAGAATTTGGCATAGAGGTTCATGAGGCACCAACGTTGATGCAGTGACATTTGCTACTAGAAAGCATCAAGTGTGTTTACTAGGATGTTAATATTTGCCACAGAAGCTCATGAAAAGACAAAAATGAATGCTATATAAATAGTCAAAACAGAATAAAGTCTCTCTATAAGATAGTGGTGTTTAGCCTGGAGTTTCCCCATGGATAATCCATTGATGCAGGGCTGTCGGAACAGAAAATTATTTAGAATAAAGATACTGTTATTTGGCTTGGACGTTCCTGAGGATTCAACGTTGATGCAACGTTGATGCCAGGTAATGGAAAACAGGGGATTTTTGGTGTATGATATTGATATTTGGCATGGAGCATGAGGGATTACAGGGATTAGCCCCCAAAGTGTTTAAAATGCATTTAAATTATTTTTCGACTAACTTATCTTTCCAAGTTTGAAACTAAAGATAATACATATAAGCTATCAAAATTATAAGCATCTCATTTTTCTCTCAATAAATTAAATATTCTATAGACAGGGTCAGTCAATCTTACCTGTTTGTCAAACTGCTTTTCAAATATGCTTAAAACGCAGTGTATATTTATGCTTTGCCGTATGCTTGAACCATTACTAGTGCCATTCCAATCGAGCTGTGTTGTAGGGTTTAATTATGTTAACTTGTATTCTCCATTGACTTCATTTATATAATATGTATACATTATGAACGATTCTTGCCACTGAAATGGGTTACGGGGTATTTTTCAAAATTATCGATTATAATTTCCATTTTTGACCAGAATATATAAACTGTGACTGTTTGAATTCAAGAGTTTTACGATATAAAGGCTTTTATGTTTGTTTGGGCTTCTTCACCTCAGATGTCATGACCAAGTTCAATAAGACAGAAAGGCCAGCAGGCCGTTTTGTGTGCTTATATTTATTATTTTGCCATGCTATTAGAAAATATCAGCACGGAGCTTACATTTTTTGTAACTTGTTAAATCATTGAATATGAACAGGATTTGATGTAGCCCGAGTTTCCTTTGTGATCTATATGTCAAAATGTCCAAGTCTGGTGTCGGGGCCAGAGGAACTCGGGCTAGATTTGGTGCTTAAGAACGGTCGTTGATATCAAGGACCTATAACCTATAACATCACCTACGTGAAAAGTACAAGTTTAGTACATGTTTAAAGGTATTGTCACTAGGGATGTTTTAGTCAATAGTAAAATCGTTACCTTTAATGCTTGTACACTGTTCTTGCCAACTGAACCCATTTCCACAAGATTATAATCTATATTATATCGAATATGAAAAGAGTCACATATAGTTTATTTTAAACAGAAATTAAATCATACTTGCTGTTTGTAACGCCTATTGATTTGTGCTTAGATTAGATTGTGACTTGTGGATTGTATATGCATTTTTGTTTTGATTTTTATGATGAAACATCTGATATCTCCCTTATTCTTCTATAAAAGTGGGTGTTATTTTATAGTTTATTAATAAAATGTCGTGGTTTCAGAGTATTTGTTGATGCTACTTGTTTTCCTCTTGTTCTCCCGACACTGGCCCTGTAGCTGGGACAATCGTGCTGGGTGTGTGTTGCGTGGTTTTCTATGCCTTTCAACATTTTGGATTATATTTTTTTTTTAAAGTAAGTTATCATGTACACATATGTAAACGTTTTGTTCGAAGTTGAGCAAATTCTGCGAATGACCTCTTAGCACATTTCACTCTGATTGGTCGACGGTTTCCATACAACAGCTTAATAACCGAAGACTGCATTCTGGTTATATACATATATTAAGACAACCAAACTTAAATCGAAGAGTTCTTTAATATCAAACTACATGTAATTTCTCTGCACATCCCAACGGTTAATTTCAAACACATTATGTTCACTATTTGTATTCTAAGTTTGCTCACTGTTAACTTCTATATACAGGCCTTAATTAGGCTTCCACGCTCGTTGGTTCCTTTGGTTCTAATTAACATTAAAAACATAAAATGTGGCAATTTTGTCCTTCCACTAAATATACAACCTGCTTCTGAATTGGTAAACTGTGATTGCCTTTACTGGATGCTAAGATGAGTTGTAAAAAAAAATTAGCTCTCCTAGAGAAAACTTCAAAAGTCAATCTATAATATATACAGTAACATAACTGAAGTTATAAAGTTCAGCGGAAAATCACCCTGTCGCAACAACTACGTAATCAACTGTCTTTGTTTGCAGCGAGACACCTATTCTGTGTTGTTCTGATCGGCCTGTCTGTGTTAACATAGCCACGAGTTAAACTAAAGCTTGGTCATAGGATTCAGCATAACCTGTAACAAAACGGAGCAAACGTGAAAACTGAAATAGGTTTTAAAGACAGGAGCACGTTATAATCGGCCACGAATCAATGTAAGCGCTTTTTTATTTTGATTCCATGTTTATATAACTCTTTTAGATTTTAAATCTGTTGAAATATTGTGTATACATTGGGCTTGTATCCATTTGTTGAAGTGAAACTTAGATCAAGCAAGTAAAACAACGTTTCAGAAAATCCCCTTTCGAGCATCAGAGTTAATGATTCCTTATGCTTACCACACTTTGAACTACCGAGTCCTTAGTCATTGGCATACAAATATAATAGTAGTAATATAAGAGTAGTAATATAATAGTAGTTATATAACAGTAGTAATATAACAGTAGTAATATAATAGTAGTAATATAATAGTAGTTATATAACAGTAGTAATATAATAGTAGTAATATAACAGTAGTTATATAACAGTAGTAATATAACAGTAGTAATATAACAGTAGTTATATAACAGTAGTAATATTACTACTGTTATATAACTACTGTTATATTACTACTGTTATATAATAGTAGTTATATAACAGTAGTAATATAATAGTAGGAATATAACAGTAGTAATACAATAATAGGAATATAACAGTAGTAATATAATAGTAGTTATATAATAGTAGTAATATAATAGTAGTAATTTAATAGTAGTTATATAACAGTAGTAATATAACAGTATTAATATAATAGTAGTAATATAATAGTAGTTATATAATAGTAGTAATATAATAGTAGTAATATAACAGTAGTTATATAACAGTAGTAATATAACAGTATTAATATAATAGTAGTAATATAATAGTAGTAATATAACGGTAGTAATATAATAGTAGTAATATAACAATAGTAATATAACAGTTGTAATATAATAATAGGAATATAATAGTAGTAATATAATAGTAGTAATATAATAGTAGTAATATAACAGTAGTAATATAATAATAGGAATATAATAGTAGTAATATAACAGTAGTAATATAACAGTAGTTAAATAACAGTAGTAATATAACAGTAGTAATATAATAGTAGTAATATAGCAGTAGTAATATAACAATAGTAATATAACAGCATTAATATAACAGTAGTTAAATAATAGTAGTAATAAAACAGTAGTAATATAATCGTAGTAATACAATAATAGGAATATAATAGTAGTAAAATAACAGTAGTATATAATAGTAGTAATCTAACAGTAGTAATACAATAATAGGAATATAATAGTCGTAATATAACAGTAGGAATATAATAATAGGAATATAGTAGTAGTAATATAATTGTAGTTATATAACAGTAGTAATATAACAGTAGTAATATAACAGTAGTAATACAATAATAGTAATATAACAGTAGTAATATAACAGTAGTAATATAACAATAGTAATATAACAGTTGTAATATAATAATAGGAATATAATAGTAGTAATATAATAGTAGTAATATAACAGTAGTAATATAACAGTAGTAATATAATAATAGTAATATAANGGAATATAACAGTAGTAATATAACAGTAGTAATATAACAGTAGTAATATAATAATAGGAATATAATAGTAGTAATATAATAGTAGTAAAATAACAGTAGTAATATAATAGTAGTAATAGAATAGTAGTAATAGAATAGTAGTAATATAATCGAGTAAAAATATTTTTTACGACCTACCGTTTTGACTTCTGTATATTGTTGAAGTCCGTACTCTCCCCTAAAGATAAGACAGTACGTATACATCATAATTAACGATACAGAAGAGGACAAGGTTACATAAACATCGTTCACGACAAGCTTAGGCAACATCGGGCAATTACAACAAGGATTTGAGTGATCAAAGGTTCGATAATGAATGTTTATTTAGATCAATCACAATAGCAGCCGTTGCTTTAATCTACAATGAATTTAAAACTTCAAATATGCATGTACGTAGTTAGTCATCGTTAATTGACTCAGTCTTAACCCATAAACAGTAATTGTCTGTTTACTTCCCTTTTGCCAATTAAAATCTTGTTGAATATCCACGAAATGTACGTTTACATTTATATTCCTACTTCAAATCATCCACATATATTCATAACTTGTTCAAATGATAATGTTAGACGAATATATACGTACAATTCTCGTCCTATTCCCGACATTTTGAAACCTCCAAAAGGACTCTGCGGACAGATGACGTTATATGCATTCACCCTAAAGAGAAAAAACAAAATTAGTAATGTTAAAAGTGTAACTATCACAGATACAATAATATTATACATAGTGGCAAAATCCATCGACATTCACCATCAACCTTATGGTGTAATCAACAAGTCTTAAAATATATCCACAACGGATATTTGAGAACTTTCGGTCATTCACTATTCCATAAATAGATCGTGATAAAAGGAACTATTACCAATCACATCAGTAATTAATCATATCAGTAATCAATCATATCAGTGATCATATCAGTAATCATATCAGAAATCAATCATATCAGTAATCAATCATATCAGTAATCAATCATATCAGTGATCAATCATATCAGTAATCACATCATTAATCATTCATATCAGTAATCAATCATATCAGTGATCAATCATACAGTGATCAATCAAATCAGTAATCCATCCTATCAGTAATCCATCATATCAGTAATCATTCATATCAGTAATCAATCATCAGTGATCGATCATATCAGTGATCAATCATATCAGTGATCAATTATATCTGTAATCAATCATATCAGTAACCGATCATATCAGTAATCACATCAGTAATCACTCATATCAGTGATCAATTATATCTGTAATCAATCATATCAGTGATCATATCAGTGATCAATTATATCTGTAATCAATTATATCAGTAATCGATCATATCAGTAATCACATCAGTAATGAATCATATCAGTAATCAATCATATCAGTAATCGATCATATCAGTTATAATCAATCATATCTTTAATCATTCATATCAGTAATCAATCATATCAGTGATCAATCATACAGTGATCAATCAAATCAGTAATCCATCATATCAGTAATCCATCATATTAGTAATCATTCATATCAGTAATCAATCATCAGTAATCGATCATATCAGTGATCAATCATATCAGTGATCCATCATATCAGTAATCCATCATATTAGTAATCATTCATATCAGTAATCAATCATATCAGTAATCGATCATATCAGTAATCACATCAGTAATCACTCATATCAGTGATCAATTATATCTGTAATCAATCATATCAGTGATCATATCAGTGATCAATTATATCTGTAATCAATTATATCAGTAATCGATCATATCAGTAATCACATCAGTAATCACTCATATCATTGATCAATCATTTCAGTGATCAATTATACCTGTAATCGATCATATCAGTGATCAATTATGTCAGTGATCAATTATGTCAGTAATCAATTATATCAGTAATCGATCATATCAGTAATCACATCAGTAATCAATCATATCAGTAATCAATCATATCAGTAATCGATCATATCAGTTATAATCAATCATATCAGTGATCAATTAAATCAGTAATCATATCAGTAATCGATCATATCAGTACATTTTTCTATTCTTTTACGTACAGCAATTGTTTTTGTTAAGGGGGAGTTTTATGATACTAGTAACTCATTTATTTGAAAAACAGCTTTTATTACACTAAGTCGATTTTCGAATTTCGTCGATGATAAGCATAAGACGCTTACTTTTCTGGAACACCTGGTTTTATTCTTCGTGAAAATTTGTAAATATTTCCGTTGTTCATATTCGTCCCTAGTTTCATCGAATTTGAGATTGAACTAGTTTTTGTTTACACTTTGGTGTTATCTAATTTTTTGATAAATTTAAGCTTACCATACTGATCCAGCCTTTACGCTATTGCAAAAGGTTATTGCTCTCTCCAAGTCGTTAGTAAAAATTGCAGCAGCCAATCCATATTCTGTATTGTTGGCCTTCTCAATCAAATCTGTCATGTCCTTGAATTTGATTATTTGTTGAACTGGTCCGAAAATCTTGATTGAATAAAAGGGGATCATAAGCGATAATTTCAACAGGATGTAATAAGAACAAACAGGTGATACGTTTGTTCACTTAATTAAGTGTCAATTGAATTATAATTATGCATGCAGCAAAACATGTTTAAACTTGCTATTTTATCAATTCAAAGATCATTTGCAGACGTTAGGAACAACAGTCAAACTCGTGTTTCATTAAACGAATGTTATCTCAATTATCTTCTTTAATTACATTTTTTCCCAATGGCTTTGTTGACACAAACAGTAAAAACAGAGCAATAGCTACTTTCACCAGCATTTTGTAACCTTTTGTTTCAATTAATATCCATTAATGAACAAACAGTGTCACTTTTTCAGAATTCAATGTCACATTTCAGTAGACTAATTTTCAATCTACTACCGTGTTCTTTTTAAAGAATTTTAATTTAATCTAGTTACTATCTACGTTTCACTAAGTTCTCATTGTATTTCATCTGTTGGTAAACGAAATGAAGCAAATACGTGCACAGTTGAAAACCAATGTGCTGAGAAGTTATTGACTAACATAAATGACATTCCATTTTTCATTCACACAAACCTCCTCCCTGCCGATGGTCATGCTTTCCGTGACCCCCGAGAACACTGTGGGCTCTATGAAGTAACCCTTTCCCTTGATTGCCTTTCCGCCACATTCTAGCTTGGCACCTTCCTTTATTCCGATGTCGATAAGTGACAATATCTTCTTGAATTGTGTTTCGTCAATCTGCCAATCATTTTTTAAATACTAAAGTAATCTGATAAAAACACTGTTTTAAGACTTCAAGTGGTTTTGTCTTTTTAATAAAGCTTCTTTTCACTCTTTTATACATATACCATATGCATGGATCTGAACCTAATAATATTCCTATTTCATCAAGAACGAGTAAGACAATATGTAACTCATTTCATTCAATATTTCTTAATTTTGTAACATGTGAAATGGCAATATACCTGCGGCCCGGATTCGAACTTAGGATCAAATGGATCACCAACTGACCGGGCTTTAGCTCTGTTAACAAGCCTCTCCTTGAAATCCTCGTAGATTTCCTCCTGGACGTACGTTCTTGACCCTGCCGTGCAGCACTGGCCTTGGTTGTAAAACAGCGCTTGATGGGACATCTCCGCTGCAAAGTCCACTGTGCAAGAAAACTGAAAGGTCAACTCCAACAAATAGTAACAATTAACTAAGAACATTTTTTTTGAAAGATATATTGTGAGCTATTGACATCCTGTTAAAATGGACGATTTAAGGCGCATTTTATTTCAAAGGAATATTGTCAGCAACTATCCAATACGTACAGTTAGTAGAACGTGAGGGCGCGTTTATTAGCACTAGGCAAACATATTTTGGAAAATAGAGAAATGGAAAAAACCTAAGTGTACAGTGCCCCATAACGGGCAAATTAAATACACTTCTCGTAATATTAAGCACCAAACATTTAAGTATAGCTTACAGTTTGCATCTGCGAATATAACATTTGGACTTTTGCCTCCGAGCTCCAGTGTGACTCTCTTCAGATTGGAATCGGCAGCAGCCTTCATGATGATTTTTCCGACCTACCATGAAAAGAGATGATGGACGTTAAAACCTAAATATTTATATACACATTTGTAATCATAGTAGGCATACGAGCCAGCATCAATCATGTATTGTCGACCTACCTCCGTTGATCCAGTGAAGGCCACTTTGTTGATGTGAGGGTGACTAGAGATGGCAGCACCGGCTGTTGGACCATATCCGGCTACAATGTTCACAACTCCGGCGGGAAAACCAGCCTGTATACGGATATATATAAAGGTAGAATGCATCGATATCAAGTAAGAATTTCCAAGAAACCATCGGAGTGAATGTTATACAAAACCCATGGGATACCAGACTATGTTATTTGTGATTTCAAACCGTCAGCGGGGTTTTAATACCAGACAATCAGCTATAATTTACATATAATCTCAAAATTGATCCGATGATATTTGATTTTGTCGAAACAATTTTCATCGAGTGACATATTTGTACTGGTTTTGCATACCTCCTTGAAGAGAGACCCCAGGTATAACGCCGTCAGTGGGGTTTGTTCAGCGGGCTTCAGTACGATACAGTTACCACAGGCCAGAGCAGGCGCCACCTTCCACGTCATCATCATAACAGGAAAGTTCCACTGTGTATTAAAGTATCTGACATCATAGTTACATATAAAACATACCATTATCATGTAATACTTCAATTGACTTCGAATTGTGACGTCACTTTCATTTTTACTTCATAAGTGAAAGATAATAAGTTACAGGAATTTTTTGACTGAAAAAATAAGCACACCACGGCGTCTTTTGTTACAATACGGGCTCATATTTTTAGTGAAAGCTATTATTTATAATTTACATATTTTCATATTTTTCATATTTTCTTTCGGATTGCTCATCATACCGGCATGAGAATGGAAAAAATACACTTCTTCTCTTATATGCAATACAAACTGTTTTATTGGTTTTGTTAACACATTGGTATTCTCGTTGTATTTAATTTTAGCCAACTCAAAAAAGCCTATACGTATAACGTTAAATATGGCAATCGAATTTTAGTATTTTACCGGAATTATCTGTCCGCATATCCCGACTGGTTCGTGTCTCGTGTAGCAAAAGAAGGGTCCATCTAGAAAAACAGTTGATAGCTAAGCACTACTAAATCTTAGGTAATAACAGTGAGTCCCACGTACATTTATCTATATCAAAAACCTTTATTTTATGTCGCTATCTGTTTCATAGAAAAATGACGCAGATCTATACGTATGAGGGGTAATAACACTATAAACAACCACGGAATTTGTATTCCATGTACATTTTTAACAACTTAAACACTGCCTTGTGCTGTAAACGATTAATTCTCGTTTAACTTTGAAAATTCAATTTATTAATCAACTCCAATTAATCATTTACAATGAATAATCTCGAGGTTCTGTAAGTATAGATTCTCAAAGAAAACAAATACATGTCACACGAAGAGAGCCTACATCCCGAAGTAACCATGACGTACCGACAGGGATGGTCCTTCCCATGATCTTATCTGTCCAGCCAGCGTAGTACCGGAACGTGTTGATAGCCATCGTCATGTCGTTCATGTACATGTCTCGGAATGGCTTCCCATTGTCCATAGTCTCCAGACTCTGTCAATATCAAACAATATATCATAATTCTTCTTAATAATCCGAAATAAAATTACATACAATAGGTGCGTACACCCAAATACCTGCCAATTGTAACGGTCAATTTATATATTATTATAAACAAAGCACGACAGATCACATGTGAAATATCTGTCTTTCTCAATCTTCTTCTTTTTACAATTCTTCAATATAAACGTTTGATGCTTTTAATATTCAGTTTTTTCAGTACACTTAAAACATGTGGTAAAAGTGCTTTCAATGTAAATATGTTCTCATATACAAATACCACTGCTTTTATGTCATTCTATATTCAGGCTTTTTAGTAAATCTTAGCAATGTTTTACAGATTATTATTGACGTATTGGTTGTGTCACATTCCTGTCTCTCATATTTGTATTGCCATATTTTTTTGTGTAAATATTTCGTGGAAATACTGACGGATATGTAGACTCTGTCCCGTTCCAGTAAGTCAGCCATCTTGTTCAGGAGGATGCCCCTGTGGCTGGCATTCATCATCCGCCATGGTGTGTTCGGCTCAAACGCTGCCTTGGCGGCTTTCACTGCCTTGTCGATGTCGGCCTTAAGGATAATACAAGATTTGTCAAGTATAAATAGTGGTCCTGACGAGGTAAGTAATAATACTAACCATTACATGTACTAAGATAAGTTATTTAACTGATTTTTGTATACACTGCATGTATAATTGGTAAATGTAGTAAACTAGTAGAATTCTAAATATCCTTTTTGATATTATGTTCAAAAAATTAGAAAATGTGGTGTTTTCCTGAAAATGAAAAAAAAGGGTTTTTGCTAATTTCCTCGACAATCCCTCAAAAACATGTAGGATAGTTCTTGTAACAAATGCTTATATTTAGCGTACAAGTGTCTCTGATTTAATATATATCATATAGATTAACTAAATATTAATTACATTTTGTGTTTTCTAAACTATTTATGGTAAAACTATTTCCTTGTGAAATGATGTTCCGCTTCAACACAGTAGAAATCATCATTATTAGTTATAAAGTATACAAATAAAGATTTTCATGTTTAAGTTCACCATATTTATTTTTTTATGTCTTCGTGGTACCAGTTGTCGTCTTTCTATATTCATTGGTGTATTTTATATTTATAATTGACTACACTTGAGTTAAGGTATTACCTTATCACCCTCTTGTATACTGGCTATCTTTTCTCCTGTACTTGGGTTCAGGGTAGGGAATGTTTTCCCGCTGACAGCATTCACATACTCATTGTTGATGAAAAGCTGTAAGGAGACATACACAAATGTAGGTAAAAGGACCGCAATAAACCCATGTGTGTTATGGCACTTTTCATCCGTTAGGTTTGAGCCATTGAAGCTACACTTTGAACATAATAGTTATTCACCTTTGAAATTTACCCGTGCATTTTACCGTAAGAAATTATGGACTTTAGATAACGGAAAATTGAGGAGGTGTAAATTTACACTAATCTTCGTAAATGGTACGTTTAACTTTCCGTAGTGATACCCAAATTCCTGCAAGCGACAGTAGTTTTGTTTAATGAAACGAGTATTTATAAATCAATTCCATTAGATCGGGGCACGTTTGAATTTGAGCTACCAACAGGATGATTTCTATATAACTATATAACGTTTGTCGTCTAAAATACTTCTTGTTATGAACATTATAGTTTTACGAACCAATAAGGTTAGTAAAGATTTGAGCGGTCAATGTCTAGATACATAAATATTGTCAGAATCAAAGATTAATCCGCTAGAAACACCAACGTTGTAAAGAGATGTCGAAACAATTTTCAGGGGAGAATATACACAAGACAGTACGTTAATATGAACAAACAGACCGAAAGACAGATGCTCCGATTCAGAGATAACTATTTGATAAATAACATATTCAAAACTGTAGATATACGCTTTATTTATATTTGTATATTGACTTTGATAACAGGTTACACATGCTAAATCAGTGGCAACATTTTGAAATGCGTCGAATATCAAATATGCTGATGCGTGTTTTAAGGGATGTTCTAATCAGAATTGTTTCGAGATCATGTACAATTCTGAGTATTATCATTATGCCACATTCATGCAATAAAGTGGGTTGTTTTAAGAAAACCGTAGTCGTGTTATAGACATCAATCAAAGTCGTATTGCGATATAGGTGATGGTATTGTAGATCGGTGTAATAGGCAGCCGTGTTGCAGGCATGATAGCATAAGAAAGAGAAGTCATGTACATACAGATGAGTAATCGTGTTGTTGAGATCAGGCAGAATTCGAATTTTCTGGACATAAGTATTGATGTTGTAGACATAACATAAATAAGACGTGTTGTGTTGTTGATGCAGACAAAAGATAAAGGCGTGTTTAAGACATCAGAAAGTAACTAAAGAAGTGAGAAGTTGTAGACATAAGTGGTGTTATTCAGATATTATAACCAGAATGATGCAACAATGGACCAGGAAGTGTTGTAAAGAGGAAAAGTTATAAAATACAATTCGACATTGTCTGTCAGAAGCATTGTTCACATTCAATTCAGAACATAAAGGAACATGGACAAGTCGGCTACTAATGAATGACGTACGTATGTTTACAGATCATTTATATGTGCAGTGCCTGAACAAATAAAGTTTCCTATATTACAACGTTCCAAAGTATAGTTTCTATCTTCATTATGATATAGAAAAACAGTAGACGGTGTGAAAACCTGCTTACAGGGTCAAAACGATGACCCGTTACTTCAGAGGAAGGAAGCACAGAGCGTGTAGTACACAGGGATTTTCGCTTTGCATTATAAAGGTAACGTTACGATGTAATTTCAATAATAAAGAGCAGAAAATAAATATAAATGCACAAACATGCCTTCCTGGACAAAAATCAACATTGACCCATGTTCCACTATATAAACAAATTACTGCATTTTGGTTTGATAACGACGAGTATACTGACCATACATTCAATTAAAAATCAATGCATTGACTTACCTTGGTGTACTTGACCTTTGGGTTCTTGATAGGGTCGGGTAGGGTCATTCCTGCCATGATGAGTACGGGGAAAGTATGAGCCTTTGCTGACTGGACACTAGGAGATGACCGTGTACTAAGCCTATCAGGCGACAGTCAGGATATATATAACGAAAAGTCATGTGATCGGATAAGCCACCCTAGCGGAAGGATGCGTCAACACATCCAAGCGTTTCTGTGGTAAAGATAGCACGATTTATCTAAGCTAGTAGCTGATTATGAGTTAATATCAATACACACACGTAAGTTAGGCACAAGGTTAGCTATTTGATTTACGACTGTGATAAATGTTGAGCTGATGTTTTATCACACAACATACATTTTCTCCTGGAACAACTTTTGACGGCTATTCTAATCAGAGGTCATGCCTCGATTTTGATTGCATTCCAAATACTTCACAAAACTAAAATGTCATTTCCATTATTCGTCATCAGTGAATACGTATCATACACTTGTTTAAGTTGATGGTTTAATGTGACCTTATTGGGGTTTTAACATAAAGTATGACTTGTAAAAAAATGTTTAACATAAGTAATCGTCAATTATGTATGTAAATACTGAGAAGGGGGGACATTTTCTCGTTGAGTAGATAAGCGCTAAACATCAACACGCTAAAATCAACTTTTTCATTATAAAGATTATAGGTAAATGGAATATGTAGATATCAAAACGATTGCCAACGCGAAAATATCCACAACGCAATTAGTTTAATTGGCCACAACGCGAACATTTCCATATGCAAAGCAATTCACTTTTACATGATTAGACCTGAAGGGTTACATGTATGTAGACCTTATCTCGATCCATGCATAAATATGATTTATCTTTGCAAAGGGTGACAATCACTGTTAATGTTTGGATAAATCTTTGTTCTTCTAGAAGTAAATCAACAAGCCTTCATTTATGGGACAACGTGGCTATATTTCCTCTGGCTGATTTGTTATCTTAACGAAAGATCAGCAAATTATTTTCATCAACTTTTACAGCTAATGCTTACTTTGAATTCTCGACTAGCTTCCTAAGTTTTAAATGTTTTTCCTAACATCGTTTATTCATTATTTTCTTTTGAAATTGTCGGTATATTTTAAAGAATTTGAGCAACACTATTTTGTTTACAGCAAATGTATTTCTGGTGTTGTTTTACTACAGCTAGATAGCTATATATAGGTCGATGTTACCGGTCATAAAAGTCTATTTATTTTATTTTTTAACTTATTTTACTAATGACGATTTCGAAATTTTAAAAGTATAAAATGACACTGATGCATTTCTGTTTCCTATTCCACTTGTTTGAATATCCATTTGACTTTTTCAAACAATTTTGCAATTTTTTCTTCAGAAAGTTTTCTTGTGAACAATGTGCCATTGTCCAATCGTTCCGTATCTTGATAAGTAACATTCCTGCTTCCCAAACATTTCAAGTTTATATGTAGCATTTTATTTATTTTTTAAGAGCTTGCATCGAAAATCATGATTTCTCCGATAGCCTGATGTCGATTTCTTTCGGACAACTTACAACACAAGGTTTCGAGAGATGCAGTTTGATGAAGACTAAGCAGGTTTTATGGTGGTTATTTCCATGTTCTTGGGCAGTATTTTACTTCCATGTGTGGTATGAAGGTCGATGTTGATTAATCTCATTAGTGTTTCTTATTGTTTCTTCATAACAGCATGCAGAACCCTTCATAAACTATCACAGGAGACGTAAATACAAATGGTGATTGGAGGGTACGCAAAGATAGTATTCTTAAAAGAAAATGTTCGAACATTAAGTCGATTTATTTCAATCTCCATCAAACCTTTTCTCGGTTCAGTAACTTCAAAAGTGTTAAAACGAGGCTGTAGGATTTATCAGAACAAATGCATAAACGACACATCTATCCAACAGATTTTTGTTCTATCAGTTTATTCCGGTCAATTCACAGACGTTTTACTGAAGTTATTTAGCAAATATGTCGGAAGTTCACACTGGACCAAATACTACTTATTGTGGGCATGGAGTCGATCCAGAGCCTAACAAGCGCTGTTTTGGCTTTGTTCCCTGCATAGAAAACAGCTGATTTGTTTTTCATGTTCAATAAAATCCAGGGTCTACGAATACAGTTTTCAGCCGATTTTGACAATGTCAGGGTAAAAGGCATTCTTTTGTTAATAGGTCATGAATAATACAATTTGAAGTATTTTTTCAAACGCATGAAGTATTTATTTAAAAACCAGATCACCAATATTACAATAAGGGCATGTCATCGCAATACGATTTGAATATATATGTGGGGATAAACTATTCTCCAGTGATCATTGGTGTTGCATAATGTTTATGACGGTTTATGAGAAAACTGGGCGATACTACAACGGTATTATCAGGTGTTAGTGTGACCCGTAGGGTCTATTAAAGTTTTGATCTATTGTGTTATACAACAGAATCGCCGCCTTTTATATTATTAAATACATCTTCTTTTATGGCAGGAGTTCACGCCCACTTTTGAACGTGTGAACTATCAAGAGTATGTCTCGAAATCGCAGAGTTCCCTGCAGTATAAAACAAATAAAGTGTGGCACTAACAGAAATCATCTGTGCAAAATATTGGCGTAGAATTTGTTATACTTTACTAACGAAAGACAATGCATATTGCCATTGATGCTGGATCCCCTCTTTCCATGAGGCATCTAAACATCAAAGACGAGGGAGGAATTCAATTTTGATACAGAGAATGACGCTGCAAGCCGCTCTCCGAAGTTAAACTTCTGTGGTTTTTTTATCAGGACTCCGTTAATACCATTATTCCGTTTTAATTTCTGCTTCTGATCTGTTGACTTCATCTATCCCCAGTCCCCGTACTCGGAGCTCAAAATGGCACAATCACCTTGACTCCCTCTACATACTATTCTTTCTTCCGTCCTCCACCCAATTAGAAATTATTTTAACTTACTGATATAGATATATAAAAACGAAAGTTTGCTGCATCCGTCGAGAACAAAGCATCATATTAATTTACATTACATATTAAAAGACTATCAAAAATATATCACATCACATTTTTCTTTCACTTTTTAAATACGATATAAATTGGGTTTTTTCTTACAATAAGTTTTAACAAAATTCTATAATATTTTTGTAATATAAAGCATTCTTTAACTGCGATTGATATATATAATAAACGCCCACCTCCCCGACAACATCTCATGCGTGTAACATACATAATTTAAGCCTCCATGATTTTGTCGGCTTTCACAATTACAACATCCGTCTGTTCAAGGTTCAGTCGATGACTGTGAAACGGCTATCGATGCGGGATGTATATATCCGGTTAAACCTTCCAAATGTCAATAACGGAATATTAGGTGTCATATTTAGTTTTATTATCCTTGCACCTTTTTTTAGATCTCCATGCGATTTTTCCCATTTTTCATATGTTGCCATAAATTCATCTATATAGCAGAGAATAATATACTAAAAAACACATTTTTCCATGGAAATCTAGATTTATTCATATATAAATAATGTGTACAATGTAAATTGGTAAATCATAATCATGACATTTGTAATTCAATAAACCAAGTAAAAAGTGAAATTCTCAAGAAATATTACATTTCATATTCATGTATAAACAGTCACAAAATTCCTTTCATACAATATCATACACTCCCAGTCAAAAATGAAACACATACAAATATTGTCATAATAACATTTACAGTAAATGCAAGCACAAAAAGTACTTGCAAGTTAGCATTATACATACAGTTAATTTCATCGTCTTGCAGCAGATATGTTTCATCATATAAAACAACAGGATATGAAATCAGTAATCAGGAAAAGAATAAAATGTCGCATGCAAAACGTAACACAATGTTATTCTGTTACAATTTTGAAAAACAACTGTATCTTTATTTGGCTTTGTAAAAACATCTCAGGTTTTCTTGTCTTCAGCAAATCAAATAACTTTTACATTTTTCAACGCAATCTTCCATAAATTAAATACAAAGCACTTAACAATGTAAATTGTGTCCGTTGAGTAAGAATATAACTCTCTTGATCCATCCCAACCATCCCTATCACTTTGTCTTATGTGACATTTCCGATAGTTGACACTTGTTGTCAAATGTGTTTAATTTTAACACCAACCTATCGTCCAAGGTTGTTACTGTCTATTTTATTATATTCCAAAAGTTATTTTTTTCCCCATTTTAGGTTTTGTAGTAAACTTCTAATGTTCACGTTTCCTTGTTGATCTATTTCTTCTCAGTGGCTGCTGGTGGCTTAGACCCCTCTGTAGGTTCGCGCACCATGTTCAGCAGTTTGTCCAGCTTGGCGATCTCCAGTTGTTCCCTCTGGGCAGGGTCCATAGCAGGCTGGCCCTTCTTCTCCTACAAATCACGGAAAATTACAGTCAGAAATGTTACGATTCCACACATGTCTTTTCAGTAAACAGTTGTGTTATATAACTCATCATACTACAGCATGAATGACAGTGTTACTACAGATAACAACTAGTGTGCCTGTTCACCTTTAAAATAAAGTGATTAGTAAAGAGTTAAGAGCGATTATAATAAGTTATAACAGACACAAATCTACTTTTACAAATTACTTCATGATGCACATTTTGATACACGAACGAAAAGATATATGTTAGGCATTACATATTCACGAAAATTACAATGTATATATGATAGGTGTTACATATTCGCAAGACAAAATTAGAGGTTAAAATACATTTAACAAGTTTAAGAATATTGATAAAGAAAACATCCAGGTGTATGTCCTCTCTGCCATATGTTAATTCACAAATGATCGTTTGGTTAAATAATGCTTACAAATTAATCATATAATGAAAATAATCAATTCTTTACACTTATAATATATATATTTCATAGGTCCAAATATGGTATCCATAAAAACTAGTAGCATTACAGCTGACCATCATGTGAATTTATATGGAGACAGTTGTACGTTATTCCCACAAAACATAAAATGTGTGTGCGGAGATAATGTGGCAATGAATATAATAAAAAAACTCATCAACCAACACACACGATTTATGTATGTAGATCTCACACAAGCACATACATCAGTATCAAATAGATACTCAGGTGATGAGATCCATTCCCATTCACCAAAAGCTTTTGTTAAAGTTGGACTTTTGTAGCAATTAAAGTTTCCATCATCATATCAGTACTACGTAACCTTATACCTGAACATATCTACTACCACATGATATCTACACTAATACAAGAGAATGGATTTTTCAGAGTATATCAACTTATTTAATATTTGATATTTATTTATTCTTTAAAGTATGAAAACAAAAACGGTTCTTAAGTCATTATTCAACGTATATTGATTCATTCTTCAGTAAAGATAGTATTCTTCAATGTATGATCAAAAACGTTTTGTTATAAAGTTTCAAAAATAACTTATTTTCAAACTTTGAATTTACAATAATTTGAGTATGGAAATGCATGTGTTTGGCAGCAGCTGTTCTTTGTGATAGGCAGTTGTTCTTTGTGATAGTAGCCAAGTTAATTTTTCTGTATGATTGTACATAAATGTTGAAAACCATTATCAAATCGGTGTTTAAATTCAAAATGATCAAAATCAAACCAGACGAAATTAAATTGGTAAATTATTAGTTTTAAATTAAAGTAAACCTTGATGAAATCTTAAAATCAATTTGATTATTTTCAATGTTGACATCCAGTCTTACAATGTTATGTCTTACTTGTATCCAAAAATGTGAATGCGGTAATAAGATGAGACACAACGACGAATGTTCGATATAGGTGAAATTATTTATAGCCCTAGATCTGTTAAATCTCTCACATCAATGTGCTGTAATAAAGTTTGATAAAGCTGTGCATTATATGTGATAGTGTCAATCATACGGATGTGCAGTACATTGTATCAAATCGAAAATGTTTTCAAAATAGGATTGAAATTTCAATAAATTTGAAATGTGTTGTGTAAAAATTTGAATGCAAGATTGAGACATATACGATAAAGATATGCCAATATTGGAATGGTCCAGTGGCACTGTGCTGGAGAAAAGAAAGCTCTGGTAATCATGAAATACCAGTCACAACTCACACACAGAGATACTAGTAATAAAACTCTTAATGCGTTTTCATTTAACTCTGGATCCTCTAAATAGAAATGCTTGAAAAATAACACAACAGAAAGTCAATGTTTAGAACAATGCACCAGTGTTACATAACACACCAGTGTTTCATAACATAGGTGTTTAGAAAACAATTGTATTTATGATTTCAATTCTAAATCTAAAAAATATATATAATAAGGGGAAATAATAGCAGAAATTAGTGTATTGACCTATGGCAGAATCAGTTATTCATTGAATTTTTGTTTACTAGTGCATGAAACATGTATATTATACAGACCATTCAAGAAATACATACATAAATTAAATTCATACTCTGATTAGGGCTTTTCCTGACACAAACATAGGGGATGGAGCAGGGAGACCTTGTTGTATCACTGTATATCACTCAATATATACCCCCCCCCCCCCCCCCCCTCACTTCATTCTCTAGCAGTAATTCAGACCCCTAAGCACTTTATGTGGTTTAGAGTGTCTCACTCTACATGAGATCTGGAATAGCCCTTAGCATCTTCGATAGCCAAGGGTTACGATCCTGGACGATCAAGGAAGACAGGATCATACAGGATCGTAACCTTTGCCTAGCAAAGATGAGCCCTTAGATAATCAGTGATATAATAAACAAACATATATATATATATAATAAAAAGTGATTAAATGTCCATGTGAAGGAAGTAAATATAGAAAAAATAAAATTAATGTTTTTTAGTCGGTCGTTAATTTTATTTTTTCTATATATATATATGTATACTCTAGCTAACACAATGTGTTTACCATCAACAGCAGTGAGACAATGACCCACGGACATGATAACATTGAGGTGTACACATTGACAATGTAGTAAGTACCTACTACCAAACTACTTCCTGTGAGATCACTGTCTCATCACACACAACAAATAAACCATGTCACAAGCACGCACTCACAGTGCTGACATACATACATTTACTAATAAACATACATTTACTAATAAACGTTTAACAAGTATGAAGGAGAGATGTATGGGCCCCTATTCAGGGACTGAGATTAGTACAACAAGAATAATGGTTATACACATGATACAGTTTAGTTAATTACGTGTTTATTATTACAACCACTGCAAAGAAAAAAATATCTTTTATAAATCGTTCTGTACATTTTTTTTATTTTATGTATGTGACCAAAGTTTAGATTTTTCAGATTATTGATTCATTAATTATCAATGAATGAATTTAAACAGTTAAAATTACATTCAATTTTCAATATTTCAATAAGAAATACAGAAATGAGAAAACAACATTGAAACTTACCTTTGGCATCTTCTTGAGATTTGGTGACAATTTCAAACTTGTAACATTACCCCTGAAATTTAAAAAAAAATGTAATGGTTTAATTTCTTGTAATTTCTGAGAGTTGTAATTTCTGAGAGTTGTAATTTGATTAAACGTCATCTTGAATACTTTAATTTCAGCTTTATTTTCGTTGAAGCGGAACCAAGTAACTAATGACACTTACCTATCATCTCCGACAATGATAATGGGATAGACTGGGTTGAACTCTATATGAGTAAGCTTGGTCTTCTTTTTCACTGCTACCATCTGCTCACACAGGGGCTCGTACTTGTTAATGTTTAGATCATATACAAACACCTGAGGGGAAAAGAGAAGCTTGTTATAATGTTTTATAAGATAAGACCTGAATCAATATTGATATAAGATCACATAACAAAAATCAAACTCTTAGAAATGTTTTTGTTCTTAAATTTTCTGAATGAAATCATTTAAGTGGAATCTGACAAAGAGACCATCCCATTGAGCTATCACCTCTAGAAAAAGACCCCCATTTTCTCATGCTATCAAAGCACTTTTGAGCCTTTCTATGCACCTTAATACTGGATTCTCTTTGTGATACAATTTATTTACCAAAGGTAAGGAGCAGGACCTAGAAGCCTACCTTTCCATCAGCTGTCACAGCAGCAAACACTGTAGAGGAGTAGGGAGCCCAGGCCACATCACCCACCGAGTTGTTGAGGTCAAACGTAAACAAGGCTTTCCTGTGATAAACAACAATAACTCACCCATTAATTAATTTTCTGTTGATCATTTATCACTCACAACAACCAAATCAACCGAAAAGATCCCTCGATAAGACGTGAGTGTATCTACATACTTAACACCTGTCTTACATCCTGATTAGAAGACTCCTGTCAACCAAGAGCATATGACATACAACATAAGATGCCTGGTAAACATGGAAACTGCCACATGACACCTGCATACAGATAACCCCTGTCTACAGGACAATTAACTGTCTAAAGAGAACCCTTGTCTGCATGACAACGGTCTACATGAAAACTGTCTACAGAAACACCTACAATACCGTACCTGTTAGAGACATTCTGGGTGTTTTCTGGGTTAGTGTCTACAGTTGTCTTCTGGCTAACTTCCCAGATCTTGACAGTCCAGTCGGCACTACAGGTGATGTAGATGTCCGGGTGCCATGGGTTCCAGCGCACCTGATACACGGCCATGTTATGGGCGAGGTTGGTGTCCAGGAACTGGCTACTGTAGGCCTTGGAGCAGGTGTGGATTTTACCTTCCTCCGTACCCACCAGGAACATGTAGTCATTCCTTTTGTGGAAGTCGAATGCTGTACCACAGCCTGAAATCATACCTCATACATGTTTAACTCTTATTCAGATTAAGATAACAGAACAATAATCTTGATAAGTAAACTGTTTACAACATTGCTGAGAAAAACTGTACTAGAGAAGTCCATTAACAAGTGTACTTACCAACAGTGCTGACCTTGGTACCATCAGGCCCTTCCGCTGGTGCCTCAGGTAACGTCAACTGGATCACGTCCTGATAGATCAGCTCATTCTAGAACCCAAATTATTTAGCACATGTAATACAGATACAATGAATGTATATGAAATAAGCTGACTGTGTATATCAGTCAAAATCACTGTGTATAGCTCAACTGTATTTTATGGAAATTGTGATAAAAAAAGCAATAAAAATAAATGGTATCAAATGCTTGATTCCAGAAAAGAGCAATTTTATACAAGTTACAGTTACAGCAGAAAAGCACTAGAATCCGGTACCTTGATGATGGTCCACTGTACAATTCTGCCATCAGAGGATATAGAGTAGAAGTTGTGGTTGTTCTCCAAGTCATCCTTTTGCCAGCGAACCTGTAATATACAATCATAACATCAATCAAACTTCGCAAACAAGTGGTTTGAGAAATAAAAAACTAAATTCAGATTAAAATGCATTTTTTATTCATTTTTACTAATGGCAAGATAAGGCTCTTTTATGCAACTTCAAATCCATGGCTTGTGCTTTTCTTTTACATAACTTTTCTTCCCATGGTCTATTATCAGACGTTATAAGGCTTTTAGCAAATAAAACAATAAAGATTAGTACTCTGAGGCTCCTTGCTACCACCATTCTGGTACCCAACACCTACCTGCCAGACAGGGTCTGTGTGCTTGCCATTCTTTGCTGTACACCTGTGCACTGGTTCCTTGCACTCGATGTTGAATACACCCACACTTCCATCATAGTAACCCACCACCACCAGGTATGGGTGATCTGGGTGTACATCTAAACACATCAGCCCACTGTCTGTCTCGTAGATAAATTCGGGGTAGGAAGGGTTCTTCAGAGAGTAAAACAAAATCATGCCGTTTCCTTGTTTCATAAAGTCGTCTGAAAAAACAGAGATAAACAATCTTCATAACTACTTAGCACTTTGGAATATTTTTATAAGAAAAGAACCATGGGTAAAGCTCATCAAGTAAACAAAGATCTCAAGATTAGAGGGATAATTTGGCCAAGCTTTTGTTACCAGTTATCAGGTTTTATCTGAATACTTCATCTGTAAGCTACACATTCTATACATTTAAATTATAACCTCAGGTCAGGCTTAAGACATTAAGCTCATTTGCTATGTTGTATCAAATATTAGTCTTTTAAGAAGAATACAATCCTCTTACTCTCCCTTGGCAGTGGTCATACGACATCAACTTACAAGAGCCAAAAGATACGGCATAAAGGTCCTTGTATTTTGGATTCCAACAGAGGGATGTAACAGCCAATTTCTTGGCCTTTTCAAAGGTGAAACGCCAAAGAGGCAACAATGTGCCCTCATTTTCACGATACTCATCAGACGGGTCATCCCAGTACTTAAAATCTGTTAAAAACAAGTAAGATTTGTTGAAGATACACACAAAAAGTTGGAATTTACGTCTTTATATTAAGTAGTTAAAAAATGTCCATAAACATATAGAATTACAGTATAAAGCAAGAAATGTTTGATTTGGGGTCATCAAGCTATCTCACCTTGTGCAATATCATCGTATGTGTTTTGGTTGACCATTCGCTCTACAATCTGTGATGCATTGGCAATCCTGGTCACATCATCACTCTGAAAACCACACAGGAAGACATACTCAGACAGGTAAACAAATAACATCTAATTCCTACATTCTTCACAACGTGCCTATTGATCTTAATAATAAAAACATCAAGTTTTATCAGTGTAAATAATCACAAATACATAGCAACGACAAAAACATATATTTTCCACCTGCAAATGAATGTGTATTCAATCAATTACAGTGGCTTCATACAAATGATAGCTTTAAATGAGTAAATGAATTAGTCAATGTTGAAATGATGATATACAGTTGAAATTGAATAAAATTGATAAGTTTACCAATTTCTTATACTCAGACTCTTCAATACTTTCAAAATTGAAAACGATGACGATGTGCTTATATAAGCACCAGATAAAAATGAGATATCTAAGCTGAAGGTATGTTCAGGTTTTTAGCTAGTTTATTTTGCAAGGAATGATACATAATCACTTCACCCTACTCTATTTCATCCTTCACAAGCCTTGGTCGTACATTAAGAAAAGATACATAGAAACAGATGTGCTTTTAAGAATATTGAGGTGTGCAACTATTTTTACGTACAGCAAAACTCGGGACAAAAGTTTCATTTAATCAAGAACAGAGAAATACACAGATTTATTTTTGCATAGTTAAAGAAGTGTTTCTAATATTATCTACTACAGATGAAGAAAAATCCTAAATTTAGTTGTTCTTCTTTTTCAAATTTGTGGAAGAGTCTTGATCGAACAGAAGTGCAGGTAAAGATTAAATATAATTGTGTGGTCTGAGTTCTGAGACAGAATGGGCAATGTTAGTATGTCTGGCTCTAACTAATAGAAGGTTGTCAAAAATATCACTGAAATTGTTAAAACAGAATAGGATACTTCAGTAATATCTTAATACTCATAATAAAATAATTTGGGTGATATCTAAGCTCAGAAAAAGTGTGAAATATACATACCATATTGTAGAATTTAGACTAAAACATTTAAAGTATCTGAGGTCATTATTTCCAATCTACTATTATTTGTACATATACCTGGTACTTTTTTTTGTAATGAAATGACCAAAGGTTTTTTTAACATAAAATTATGAAAAAATATATATATTTTTCAATTATTAATACAGAAACAATGTGGAAAAGGACAAGGACATAAGTAAATTATTGGAATATCTTCAATCTCTCTAATCACCATGAATGGACAAGGACAAGGACATAAGTAAATTATTGGTATATCTTCAATCTCTCCAATCACCATGAATGGACAAGGACAAGGACATAAGTAAATTATTGGTATATCTTCAATCTCTCCAATCACCATGAATGGACAAGGACAAGGACATAAGTAAATTATTGGTATATCTTCAATCTCTCCAATCACCATGAATGGACAAGGACAAGGACATAAGTAAATTATTGGTATATCT